GTCAGTTATGTTTAAACCATGCTCTAAGTAAAGGTTCAATACACAAAATATTACATGCAGAAAATTTACATCCGTACAAACCGACTTTATTGCAAGAATTATCCGAAGATGACTACGGTCGACGTGTTGAATTTTGTGAATTTATGATGGAGCGAATCAACAGCAATCCAAATTTTCTCAATAATATGGTTTTCTCTGACGAGGCTACGTTTTGTTTAAATGGTAATGTAAATAAGCAAAATTCTCGATATTCGGCCGCTAAAAATCCCCATTGGATGATTCAAAATCATACTCAAACACCACAGAAATTAAACGTATGGGTGGGAATTTGTGCAGATCACATAATTGGACCTTTCTTTATTCGAGGTACTCTAACTGGTCACCGTTATTTACAATTATTGCAACAGCAAATTATCCCAGCTTGCCAAGAAAATCTTGATGATCTTTGGTTTCAACAAGATGGGGCACCGCCCCACTATCATTTAGATGTACGCCGATATTTAGATACGGTATTTCCGGCCCGTTGGATAGGCAGAAGAGGGTCTGTAGAGTGGCCACCCCGATCTCCGGATCTTACACCTTGCGATTTCTTCTTCTGGGGATATTTAAAATCTAAAGTTTATGTAAACCGACCTCAAAATCTGACAGAATTAGAGCAACGAATAAAAGATGAAGCTGCAGCTATTTCTCCCAGATCGCTAAGAAATTCTTTTCAAGCCTTTTATGATAGATTGGGCCACTGCCTTGCAGTTAATGGTGAACATTTTGAACATTTATTGTCGTGAAAACCATTTTAGTGCTAATTTCGTTTTGTCTTCAAAGTTTAATAATTTTTATTTACACTAATTTTTAGTTTATTTGTTTTATTTTGTATGTAGATTTAATTTACGGTAATAATTCGAGGTAGTTGACGATCTCGGATATCTAGATTAATGTTATTGGTTAAATTTTCTTAATAAACAATTTTTACATTTTATGCAAAATTTTATGCTCATTTGTTTTCTGAAATAAAAACAATTGAATGGTGTCTTATTATGGCAAATAAAATACTAATCAACTTTTGTATAAAATGTTTTTTTATAAAGTTGATACTTGCCAAGATATATACAATATTCCATACATAATGGACACCCTGTATGTGTTTCAATTAATTTTTGTTATATAATATAAAGAAATTGGATGAAGTGGTAGGGAGGGGATGCATCACTAGTACTCCTAGCTCTGTACTGTCTATATTTCTGCGAATAGTCAGGCCATAATATGTAGTCAGTTTTCTTATTAGAGCATCTGTCAATATTTCTATGCATATAGTTGGATGGTCAATTTTTTTATTTTATAGAATAGATACTCATATTATCCTCATTGAGGGTATCTAGTGCTTTAAATTCTTATATATCATCTGGTGTAATTGGATGTCATTGCCTGTTTCATTTTTTACATCAAGACAGTGAGTACAGTACTTTTATGATGGTATTCTTATGTTATGTTGGGACAATATATACAGGCTGTTTCACTTAAAACACCCAGGCCAAGTATCTCTGGAATGGGTTGAGGTATTGTAGTTTTGTAAGAAGTTGTTGCTAGAGTTCGTAAATGACTTCAGTTCTTAAGTATTGTTATTTTTTATTGTACAAAAATAAAGATGGCGCTGCAGTCAAAGGATACTTTTCCTTCATCACAAACTTTTCATTAGATGCATGTGATAGAGCATCAAAAACTGTGCAACTTTCCTTATTAACATTGATTTCAAAACTTAGTAGACATTAAACAAGAAAAGAATTCAAATAAAATTATTTATATTATTCATAACATAAAGTACAAATAGAACACGCAAATTTCTGTTACATGTCATTTTTTAAGAAGCAAATACATTTTTGCAATATAAGTGCAATTTTGTTCAACATTTAGGACCAAGCGACGATACCGTTGACTTCAGTTCTTGCCTGATTTTTCAGTTTTAGCATAAAGAGACAACTTTCTTGATAACATGTTGTGGTGCAACGAAAGTCGTTTCCATAATAATGGAGTAGAATGCAAGCAAAACAATCGATATTGGTCTCAAGACTATTAATTGATCGTACAAACAAATAATCAAATAAACTTATAATCAACAAATCACCGTGACCTGGAATTTCTGCAGAACAACCATCCTGAACTGCTGAATATTTTGCTGGGCGCATTAAAAAGACCGGCGTGGTTTCAACAAGATGGTGCAGCTCTTACAACATACTCTTACAATGTACAATGTTGAATTATGAAAAATTTATTTGGTAACCTCAAATGTAATTCTGTTTTTTATTTTCTTAATTAGTTTTGTTAATGATTTGTTATTTATGTTAGAAAATAATGTTGTAACCACCTTGTTGGTTTATATGTATAATTTTATTTCAATTCTTTACTTCTTTAATGTTAAATATCTTCGAATCTACTAAGTTTTGAAATCAATGTTAATAAAGAAAGTTACAACAGTTTTTAATGCTCTATCACATGCACCTAATAAAAAGTTTGTGATGGAGGAAAACTTTCTTTTGATTGTAGCGCCATCTTAATATTTATATAATGAATAATAATAATACTTAAGAATTGAAGCCATTTACGTATTCTAACAACAACTTCTTACAAAACTAAGATGTCTCAACTCATTCCAGAGATACTTGTCCTGGGAGTTTTAAGTGAAACTCCCTGTATTTAAATGGGATCTTCTTGCTTACCATTATATTGGACGTAATTAAAGATAATTTAGCACTTTGACAATGGAAATTTATTTATTTATCTGCTTTTACCGGTTTCGCCTTTCTGGCATCATCAGAAAGCAACCTGATAAAAATTTACAACAAAATATTACAAATCATCCTAATCTTAATACGTATGAATCAGACACTGCATTCTTTACAATAGTTACATTGTTTTATTTTATTGTTTTTGTACACCTTTTAAAAGGTTTTTAACTTGTCATATGGAACAACTTAAACATATACAAGTATTCGTTTATTGACGTAAGTTTTAATTTGTTTAACCATTTTTATTTTAAATTAATATTTATTAAGATTAGGATGATCTGTAATATTTTGTTGTAAATTTTTATCGGGTTGCTTTCTGATGATGCCACAAAGGCGAATCCGGTAAAAGCAGATAAATAAATAAATTTCCATTGTCAAAGTGCTAAATTATCTTTAATTACACCCTGTATTTAATCTTATATTAGTAATATCCAGTCTTCTAAGCTATAAGCAGTCTTTTGCAAGCAGTATGTAGTCTTACATTGGTATTATCCAGTCTTCCATTCGCTGTCTCTAGTCTTTGCTAACAACATTTAATCTTTTGCAAGCTGTAAGCAGTCTTCTGCAAGTAGAAACTCATGTTATATTGGCAGAATACAGTCTCCTTTTGGCAGTATCTAGTTACTGCCGGCAATATTTAGTATTTTGCAAGATATAAGCAGTCTTTTGTAAACAATATCTAATTTTATATTGGCCGAATACAATCTTCTATTAACACTAACTAGTCACTGTCAGCAATTTTTAGTCTTCAGCAAACAGTAAACAGTTTTTTGTGAGCAGTATCTAATATAAGACGTTTATGTGTTATATTGGTAATATCCAGTCTTCCTTGCGCGATCTATAGTCTCTGCCAGCAATATTTCACCTTTTACAAGCTGTAAACAATCTTCTGCAAGCAGTATCTACTTTTATATTGGCATAATACAGCCTTCCATTAACAGTGTCAAGTCACAGGAATATCTTGTCTTCTACAAGGAAAATCTAGTCTTATATAGGGAAAATGCAGTCTTGCATTTGCAGTCTTTAGTCTTTGCCAGCAGTATTAAGTCTTCTGCAAGCTGTATCTACTCTTATACAGGGTAATTTATTAGCTCACCATTAAACTTTGACATATGATAATGTTAAAAAATGTTAATGATAATAATTTTCAATTACTTAATTATATTATAACACTTTAA